ATCATCGGGGAATTTTCAAGAATTTTTCAAAATCGCGTCTGGTTTTAGCGGTGATTTCTACAAGGCCGGAGCTTAGAATTTATTTCTGCGCTAACTTGCAAAGTACGAAAGTCATTTTGGATGCATTGTGTAGGACAAAGTCCCTTCTATAAGCTCATAAAATCCTGAGTTTCACTCGTAACTAAGCAATTAGGGCCAATTTTTCAAAAGTGCAGTTAATTTCAAAGGCTGTTGTTGCAGACCAGACCAAAGTTTCACATTTATTGAAGAACTGATCAAATGACAGAGTCACTTTAGTATGAATTTTATGCGGCAAAGTATGTTTCATAAGTGGCAGACGTTTCGGTTTTCGGTCCTCATCGGGAAATTTTCAAGAATTTTTCAAAATCGCGTCTGATTTTCGCGGTTTTTGCATCGTGAAGCCAAATCTTTAGTATTAGATTACCATAGAGTCCATAAACATCTGAAAAACTTGAGAAAAAAGGCAAATAAATTGATTGTCTCGATCAGAGGAAACATTCTCCAGGTTTCCCATAAGTTTCTTCCCGAAATGCTAATTTAAAATCTGCAACTTTATGTGCGGCGCAACTTTTGAGCGGCATTAACCAACCCCCGTTAAATAATAAACCCCCTTATCCGCCATATAATAAACGTGTTTATCGTAAAAGTCAGTTTATTTGCTTGCTCGTTTTATAACGCGTTCGAGCGTTTTTTTTTCTCGGTTTATGACCGAAGTGTATTGGATGAACCCCTGAAAGAGGCGGGTGGCTTACAGAACTTGATAACATGATAGCAAATGGAAATGGGGATTTTATTTATGGGTTTTATGAGTGGCAGAGAGTGAGGCGCAATTAAATTTTTGCAAAGAACATCGAATTCAAAACGTGATGGTTAATTAGGGCGTGTTGTGTGAAAAAAATATAAAATTAATTAAAAGGCTTTGCGAGTCTGATCGGGGTTTTAGATGCAATTTCCTCCTGCCCGATTGTTTCAATTTAAATCCGCGTTTTCTAAAAGGCAATAATGTTCATGTTGTGTTACGCTTTTCTAGGCTTGTTGAGTGGAAATTTAAATAAATTGGAATTTTTCATAATTTAATAGGGTATGTATGATTCCAGCAGCAACGCAACTGGCTGATTGATACTGAAAATTCGTTTTTCCCGCACGCATTATAATGTGCAGCAAATCGGACTTTCCAATCGAATCAGCTCTATCTGCAAATTTCAATTCTACATAGTGACTAACTCGATTTTATTATTAATTTGCTTTAACAGTCACATGCATTCAGGTGTTAAATATAATTTTCACTGGCAATAATGCCCGTTTGCACTTTACATTTATTGGTTCATCCAGTTCGGCAGCTCCATTATTGGAGTGATTTTGAGATGTTTTTCCCACAGTCGAGACGTGCACAGTTGAAATGCCTCAGAAATGTATTAAAATTTAATGGCACAGACGCCAAGACCCGCCAAGAGCAGCTAAACTCCGTTAGAAGTAGCTGATATATTTGCTTGAAACTTTCGCCGCAAAACCTCAAGGTTCTTAATTGATAAAATAGGGCTGCATTTGTGAGTCTCCGAGTGGACGGACGCAACACTGAAAATCGATGGATTTTTACATAAAATGCCCCTCGCTTGAGGTGCCAAACCTCCGAAATCTGCCCCATTTTATCACTTCATTGTTCTTCAGCTTTATGATTTTTGCACCGACTACGAAATCTTCTTGGCCAAAAAGGGGCCGGAAATTAACTTGTTAGCAAGTAAGAGACGAAAGCTGCATCTACTGTCGATGCCTCATTTGAAGATCCATCGAGTAACATAAAATTATATTTAGGACGACGCCAAGAGAAGTTTTAATTTCGCAGCTTGGGCCATTAAGAAAAGGCGCAGTGCACGCAATATAAACCACAGACAATCGTACAATAATGGATTATGTACTCCGAAAAGACAATAAAAGCTGCAGCATTGGAGCCGCATGGAGTTTTATTTGCAAAATAGCATACAAGTTCGGGGTTTTGTTGTCCTTTCGTACATGTTTCTTGTTTATCGGGTTAATCCTCTCGAAGCAAATGAGGCACAACTCGGCCCATTAATGTCAACTATTCTCTACCCACTAAGGATATGAAATATAAACTCCACGACCGTCAGATGTACTTAGAAAGTTTCTGTGCCACATAAAACGCAGCAGATATGAAGCAGAGAAGAGGCACAGAAAAAGCTCACAAGAATTTGTCAAAATCGGTTCAGAAGTTGTTTCTGAGGTAACTTGCAAAGTGCGAAAGTCAGTTTTGGATGCATTGATTGCTTAGGGCAAAGTCCTTCTATAAGCACGAAAAATCTTGAGTTTCACTCCTCACTCGGCAATTTGGGACAATTTTTCAAAATTTAGCTTGATTCTATGGGAGGTTTTTGGCAGACTGAAGTTCAGAATTTATTTGTTGAGGAAGTAATGGAATGGCACAGTCGGTTTTGCATGTATTTTATACATCAAGCTCTGTTGTATAAATGGCGGACGTTTCGGTTTTCGGACATCATCGGGAAATTTTCAAGAATTTGTCAAATTAACGCCCAAAAATCGCTATCAATTAGAGCTTTAATTGAATATTCAACTTTTACCGCTAGGGAAACTGCGGCGTACTTTCCAAGGAGCTTCTACTGCAAAAGAAAACTGAAATTTTCACTTGACAATTAAAAAGTTACAGTTTGCAGGCTTTTAATTATTCAGAGCGATGCAGCAGCTTTTCGGCGCTTCCTCCTCTTGGAGAAGGAGTCTAAATAATTAATAAGTTACGCAAACTGCCGTCAGCGGTTCTTTAACACTTCACGTTTTGGTTCTGCTAACTTTATTAAAGATTTATGAGTGGTAAGCCAGTTTAACATGTCCGTCCACATCACCTGGATGGCTGTTATGCGAGCCTGTCCATTGATTAGCGGTCAGGCCAGAATATAGCTTACATGCGGTTATGGATAAGTAATATAATACCCTCATTGCATTACTCAATTAGAAGATTATCGATTATACGGGCGGCTGCGGTAAATTGCAAGGGAAATGTTTAATTGCTAGTAAGCCACTTGCTTACCAGCGCAGCATTTGCTTTTGATTGCCCATTTTGCTGCTCAGAGAAGTGAACTGTTCTGGCAATGACCAAGAAAAACGGTTCAGAAACCCATAGGGTTTGGATAAACCCAAACGTTTCGCTCGCTCAAGTGCCCC